AACTGGACCTGAGAGGTATTCCTCGGTCTTATATGTTATGTGTAGGCTGCCTCGCTCATTTGAGGACCAGCCCTTTTATTTCCTCTTTTCTCTTCTCTTTACTATGTTGGGGTTCCCCCATTGGGGTCCTATTAGCTGGTCAAATTCATACAATTTATCAACTCACTGTGGAACAGACAGGACTAGCCTATCAAGGGGACAGAAATTTTGAAAGAGAAAAAATTGCTTTGTTACAGGCAAAAATCAAGAAATGTTAAATGTGCATAGCCAGTGTCCTGAAAAGTGTAAGTTTTGTCTGGAATGACTCCAGAAAAATAGCAGTGCACTTCCTTGTATCTGCACTGCAGCATCATAGCTGTATATCTGCAGTGTGAGATCTAAGGTACTGAAGCCTCAGCTAGCTTCAAGAGATTTGAAATGAGACTTGTGATGTCACCACTGTGCTGCTCCAGACAGAAACCCAGTGCAGAACAATGCATGGTAATACTGGCCACAGGTAGCACGTTTTATTTGTTTTAATGTTACAAATCTTGCTAATGCCTCTGTTTACACCAAATCAAATGTATTTAGACAAGTAGAGTGACAGCAAGTTAGAAGAATCTTCCCCAAGATCGAACATGGCAGCAATAGAAGCCCAACAGCAGTGCTAACCTTTCCCCAAAGTTGCATTAATGTGCATTGACTTGGCATGCACTTTAGACACATAGGGGTTGATTTACTAACCTTATAAACACACCACGAACATGTATACACCTCTGTAGTGTGTTCCCTCCCAGCATGATCTATGGGTGGAATCTAAACACCTTTGTAGTTTGTACACACCCAGCAGGTGTGTTGTGCAAAGCCAAGCATGAATTTGCAAGGTGATGTTGTGTAAATTAGCTCTATGTTGTGTTGCTTGCGTTGATGAATGCAGGAATATAAATGCATGAGCTAACCATTTTTGTCTAAACTGTGAAGCAGCATTATATATGCATCATGTGCATGATTTTTCCATATATGGCATTAGTGGAAATATGCTTTTAGAGACTTTTTGGTTGATAAATACGTTTTGCTGTGTAAAAATCACACGCACCTAGTGCGTGCGTGTGTTTAGGTTAGTAAATCACCCCCATAATGTTGCATTTTAGAAATATTCTAATGTGTTCTAATTTTAATGTATTTATCTTGTTCTATCATTTTGCTGCATTAGAAAATGCACCAAAATGTCAGGCATCATGTCCTGTGTAAACCAAATGTAGAAGTAGGTCAGCTTTACAGAGAAAGGAGGGGAGTTGGAAAAGGCTGGGAAAGGTTAATTAAATACCAATTCATATAAGTAAAGCAAGCCATAGACAGGAAGATGCCTTTCTAATAGCCATAGGCAGTGATGTCTGACATCCCTACCACAATTACGGCATTCTCATTACCATTTTTACAAAGAAAATACATTAAATTTCTGGGTACCAAAATAGGGACCTCTAATCATAGGAAGAACTCGCTATAGTCCTCTAGGGAACCCATACAATGACCATCCTCACCGCATCATTAAAAGCTATGTTCGAATCTGTTGCATGGTTTGCAAATTTTGGACCATTTGTAACCTTGCTTAAAAAAACATTAGAAATCAAGGTGTGTTTGCAACTAAAACAACAACCAAAAAAAAGAGACTAAAGGGTGCCTATCATGACCTGTGTGTTAGACTTTCTTTTGTGAAACGCCACCTCTTGCAATCCAATTTAAAAGATTTAAATGACTGATTGTTTTAAAGTAGACAAGGGACACAAAGTTCAATTAAAAATCTCGTTCGGCACATTGTGAACTAAGCACTTCTACCAAAGGTGTGAAAAACAAATTTATTCCAACACTCTCATCACTGTCACAGATAATCAACTTAATTAGGTGTTAATTATGTTTCACTGTTAAAATGAAATGTGACTATATCTGCACACAATCAAAATTAGCAATATTACTGGAGAATAAGAATACCACTCTTTGCAACAGCTATTTTTAAATTGTGCTGTACATGGAGGACTTGATCAGATCGGCATTTTTGTTTTACGAAATATGAAAAAGTAACAGTTTGTGCTGGATGAGCAATTTGGGAAAATAACACATTTTGTATTATCCTATTTTCTGCAGCTGCAGAATTGCAAAACCCAGGGGCCATTCAGCTCATCACTACTTAACGTAAACTGCTCACAAGACAGGCAAGAATATTAAGTTAGCTGTGAGGTTGGGGTTGCAGTGTCATTGTAATAGAGCTGAGCTGTTTTTCTGATACAGAGAAAAAAAAAACATTATAGGTAGATTGTAATACCTTGCAGTAAGCTTCAAGGTCAAGGCGGGCCCTTGTAATTTGATTACTGATTACTAAGTCCCATAAACTATTTAAAATACAGATGGTGTCTATGGCACTCAGATGTGAAGTAGAAGACACTTTTTCAATAAACAAGCCAAAACAAAAAGAGACAGAAATGGCCCACCAAAACTGTTTTGATCGATACCATCAGGTTTTTTAAAGCCACTGACTTCTCATGTCTCAGTGATTCTGATTTTGAGAACCTTCAGAAGCTATTAGTTCTGGTGGCATCCACCTTGAAGTCATGGGGGACAGTTTCTTTAAATGTGAAGTATGCATTAAGTGTTACTAAACCCAATACAAAAATAAATAATATTCCCTATCTTCACAAGTGGTCCTTTAAATACCTTTTGATAGAAATGTCAGAATCCTATGCGAAATATACTGTATGTTAAAACTCTGCTGATTATACTTCCTTCAGTTACGCTGGCTCTACATGGTCTCACTTCAAGTGTGATGTGCTTCCACTACGGGAACATACCAATGCTTGAACATACCAGCATAACTGAATGCTAAAGGGCACACATTTACATTGGAGTAGGCAGGCGCATTGGATCTTGGAAGTTGTAGTGTGAGGAGAGCAGTGCACATGACTGTAATATACGTGCACTATTTGTACCTCAAAACCAAACGTTCAGGAGAATTGCTTCTGTGGCAACCACTGTAGGAGCAGAATCATGATGCTGAAACGTTAAGTTAAAAAATGTCTAATCTGTAATCTCATGAGATTTCAGGCAAAGGCATTCTCCTCCCCTCACATGATGTGCATGGTCACATGTCTTAGTCACATGTGCCAGATTTGCAGGAAGTAAAGGGAGATCTAGTAACCTGCCCTTAGTTAAAATGGTCCCTGTCAGAGAACTGGGGAGGAAAAGAAAAATAATGTATGCAAAAAAGCTAAAATCAATTATCTAGAAGTATCTGTACAATCTGTAACTTCTGATTGTAAGTTTGAGGTCCACTTTACTTAACTAATGGAGACTGACTTTACCAGGGTGTGCTTTCTCCTGTCCTCCTTTACAATTCAAGAAGTTAGGAGATATTCTGTGGCATGCAGAAAAGGTCAACAGCAGCCTATGAGACAGCCTACCATCACCCACTCCCTTTCTGACAATGGCACAAGAAGAAGCTCATCCCACCTGCAACACCCACCCACACAGAAGCATGGATGCGAGGACTGGTGTTCCTACAAGTGAAAAAAAGGTTGACAAAGGATCAGTTTAGCATGTGGCCTGAAGCAGTAATTACTGAGTGAAGCAGATGTGACATTTCCATAGCACAATGTTGGTTATAACAAGTGAAAGAAAATTCTTCACGTCCTAATTGCAACTCTCTGTGTATCATGTGAAGGTGCTGCCTATTTAATTTCTATCAGAGAACTAGTGGCAGACTGCTGGCTCAGCATTTCATTTCTCAGGTCAGGGATATCCGATCAATGGCATCAAATGGTAAATGTAGCAGTGAAAATAAGAAGTTTTTGTTGTTGCTGTGTCAGATAGGCAGACCTAGAAACCAAATGCAGATATCTCTCTTATAAGCGTCCACAAGGGGGCAGATGAGAAGAAGAGTATTTGCCAAGGGGCTCCCATAAAAAGAGAATCAGGTGCATCCCCTCCCTTTTACGCCTCATATCTGTGAAGCCAAAAGGCGGGGCCAACCTCATGGACAAGAAAGGGGGAAAAAATGCCTTTCATTGGCACTGCAGAACAGCAAGTCAGTCACTCCATCCTGACAGCTGACTTGTGTATATTGGATCCTACCTTTGGCAGCCAGAAACAGCAAATAAGAAGCCAGATATCTCCTGCTAGGGAAGTCACAGACAAGTCACAGATTACAAAATCAAACACAGCGCCAGCAGATTTTGGTTCAAGAGAGTATTAATCAATGATGTTCAGGGCTGCCCTCCCATTGAAAAGCATTAAGACATTACTATTGGCTATTTCAATTTGCAATAGCCAATAGTAAACTAGCATTGTACCCGCCCTCTGCTGATGGACCTGATGGTGAACTGCAGCATGTCGGCAGCTTCGTGAATAGACCCCTATGTTTTTTATATGTATACTCACTGCAAATTTACTATGATCTCCATTTAAATCAGTCTTTAGAGGTTTTATTTACTTATTTAGTTTGTTTGTGAATGCTCATTTTCAGCTGTTTAGCACTTTGCACTGCCAGTAAGGTCTCGTTCACACCTAGGCGTATTGCATATGCGCGTCTCCGAAGGCTACTTGGCTGTATCCCACTGGAAACGCGCAACAAAACGGCCCAAAGTAGTACCTGTACCTTTTCAGGCGTGGGCCGTTTTGTAGCGCGTTAGGGACGGGCGGAAATACGCCAAGGTGGGAACGAGACCATTGAATACAATGGGCTTTATATTTTTGAGCGTTTTGTAGAGCGTTCCTCGAGTGTAGAACGCGCTACAAAACGTTCAGGTGTGAACGAGGGCTTAGACATTTTAATATTAGTGAGCCACACCCCACTTCTGTCATTGCTCTGACCAACTACATCCAGCATTAACATGTTTAATTCAGGAGTGATAAGAACCTAGTAGAGAGTTAACATCCTTATAGCAAACAATCAACAGCAAGCTACACTGAAAAAAACTATTCCTAGCACCAATACAGATAAAGCTCCATTTAGAATGATATGTAAATAATACCGTGTAAGATCCACAGTACAGGGTACACTTGCTGTCCACCTCCAGTCCACGGGTACAGCTATACATTCCTTGAAGGATAATGGGCAAAGGCTCACACAGGATAGGAATGCAGCGGCCTACAGACCACAGACCAGTCTGAAGACAGTGTATTTTCAGGAACTTCCTGCATAAAAAAAAAAGTACTTAAATCTGAACTCCAGTGAAAACTTTTCTTTTTGTTTTATACACAGTAGCATAAGGAGGGGCTATAACCTTTTACTAGTGTTTATTGCCAGCTGTGTCCCTATTGAGTAGATTTCCCAACATTTCCTGTCTCAGTGAATGATGGCCAATGAGATAGGAAGTGATGGAAAATCTTTCCAATGGTTACAAAGACAGCAATGAAAGGGTATTTTTTTTTTCCGGTACAATAGTAAATGTTAAAACTTCTGTAAGATTTCTTTTCTGTCTATGCCTTCCCATTGTTTCCTTAGTTTCTGTCTTGGGGTCATAGGGACACAAAGGGGTCTATTCACTAAGCTGCCGAGGGCAGCCGAGTGAATGACTGATCTGAAGTGAAGTGAGCCGAACACTGTTCGGCTATTCACTTCAGGCTGCTACGGCTGATTTCAGCCGTACATCGGCTGAAATCAGTCTTACATCGGCTGGCTTCACGTGGCTTCGCGTCGGCCGAACATGCTCAGCATGTTCGGCCGACCCGAAGTGCAGAAGGAGTTCGACTCAGCCGATCCAACATCCAACATTACTATTACTATTGGCTATTTCAATTTGCAATAGCCAATAGTAAACTAGCATTGTACCCGCCCTCTGCTGATGGACCTGATGGGGAACTGCAGCAGAGGGCGGGTACAATGCTAGTTTACTCGAAGCTAAGGCCAGATCCTTCAGCATCTTCGTGAATAGACCCCAAAGTGTGCGAAAATCTCCTCAATGAAGCTGCAGACAGCAATATAGGGAAGACAGAAGTTGAAACCCTTCCCCATTCTATCAAAAACCAAAGAAAAAGCTCTGGCTGGAGTTAGGCTTCAAGATAATGCATCAGTTAATAGTGATTAATGCACGTATTTATTAAAAAATAAAACTGAATTGATAGAAATATAAGGTATCTCATGCTGAAAAAACTAGCTGTCAGGTTTTTTTGGTCCATTAAAACCGACCCTCTTACTTTAATGTTTGAGTCAATAACCTGGAAAAATTATTCAGATGACTAATGTTTTTTGATGATACCTGTTCTTGGTCTGTGTATTATTGATGCTAATGGCCAACTTAACAGCCAGGCGGCTTGCTTCTTATGCACCAATGAATGAAGTGAAAATCTCCCTAATGTGTCTAATATATAGCTATTTATACAAATACAATGTTGGCTAAAGCCGCCCACAAATATGGCATGACTACTCAGCCATATAAGGTGATAATGATCTATATCTATAGCCAAAACTTTTTTAATTTTGGATAGAGTAGGGGAAAGTTAAAACTGCTGTCAGTTGTTTTTTTTTACAATCTGTGTCGAATTAGGGAGACCTGCCATTACTTCCTGTAGACTCAACATGAAGTGAGAGTATATATTTCCATTGTGAGGGAAATTCCCTTTTAGGCAGCTTCACAGTAACAAGTGCCCCCATTGGAAGATTCCTCCTTGATTCCTCTTCTGGTAGCAACTCAGCATTTTGGCATTACTATCACATTCCTGGTGGCAGGACAATTACAGAGAGCAAATCTCCCTTACTGGGACACAGACAGCAATATAAACCTAACCAAGGTTCTACCCTCTCACTGCTCCAAATCTAAAAAAACAAGTTTTATCTTTAGTTATACATTAAGTCAGCAGGGTTGCGCAGTTGCTAGTTGGTCACTGTCCAGAGAAACAGCAATCACCAGGTTAGAAACCCTTTGACAATTGATCCCCTAAAATATGTGACCCTAACCACCCTCTTCCTTCACCACTCTTCTCTTCCTCTTTCCTTTCGGCTTTACCACAAATGCTAGGTCGAGCTGAAAAATTCAATTTTGGCATAACCAACTGCACACCTATATCTATGTTCACCTATACAAATTGAGATATCTTTTATTAACACATATTATGACCTAGAATGAGTTAGCTTTCAAGCAAGTGATGCATATTTTGCAGATTTCATACAATCTAAATTGCGATCTAAATCTATGTGTTAATCAAGACTCAGTGGATAAGGCTAATTGTTCACACATTTTTTAATTTTCTTTCTTTGTTTTTGTTCATTGTTAATCATTCCAGACAAAATAACTAACACTTGAGATCTGGGTCAAGAACAAGAGGGTCTTAGTTATAGAGTCTAGGTATTTGGGCTACATAAACCTCTAATGCTGCAGTAATCAAGAAGTAAACAATATGATATCAAAGTCCCTGTGATTAATCAGAGTTTCATTACTGCAGCTGGCAAAAATAAGACATTAAAGAAAGTAGAAAGCAATTAATATAGCAAAAAGTATTTAATAAATGAATAAGAAATAAAATATGACACATACACAGTTGGCTTGAGAGGTGGGTGGGATATGTTGTTTACATTACTGTAAAAGTATGAGTGAGCAAAAGTTCAGTTTTAGAGAAAAAAAATCACCCAGCAAGTGTTAATGTGTTATCATCAGTCATACATTCTAACAGTTGGTAGCCTGGAAGGGATAGATGTAGATTTGAAGTATTAAATTTGTGTAGAGTGCAGATGTGATAGAGAAAGGTGAGACATGCTTAGCATAAAAACATGATTACATAATTGCTTTGAGATTATGGAACTGTCATTGGTAAATACACAAAATCTCCTATGAGATGGTCATTTGTTTCTCTAATACTGATAACATCAGTTCATTGTGCAGTGACAAAAATATAATCTCTTTTCTACTGTGAAACCGAATCTGTTTGTCCAAATACTGTGCTCACTTTATAACATTAACAGGGTTATTCACAAAAGGGTGAAGAGTTTGGAGAAGGCAGGAGAAGTATACAATCTAGGCGAAAGTAGCTGATTTGGAAACATTCTCCAATTCAGCTCACTTTCCAATTCAGCTATATTGGCCTAGATTGTTCACTTCTCCTGCCTTCTCCAAACTCTTCACCCTTTTGTGAATAACCCTGTAAGTCTCCATTATTTACTCTCTCTCACTCTATCTGACCTCTCCTGCATTTGTCTGTCCACATTCTAGAGTGAGAGTAGGAGTGAGAGTGTGTTATCTCCATGTTAATCTAAAGCATTAAGGTTACAATCACTATAAGATAATTTTCTGTTCTCTTTGTCTAGCTGGGGAGATCTCCCCAAAGCGAGGGTGATTTCCATTTTAGACTATTACATTTCAAATGCATACAGCATTTCCCTAACATCTAGTGCTTATGAAATCTCTAAAATATAAGATTTCCATATACTTTCTGTCTAGGTGACAATGACACCAAGACAAATACATTTCTCCAGCAGAGACTGCAATAAAAATTTGACAAAAGGTCTAACCCTTCCTTACTCTATACAAAACTAAAATGGAGGACTTAATGTGATCCATTGTATAATTTAGGTGAAAAGGTATTTTTTTTATTTTGCCTCAATATATGTATGCATATTATTCCATTCTGCAGAGAATCATACAATGAACAAATCATGATTGCTGATTTGGGTAATTTGATCCTCAGTATAGATATAAGAAAGCTAAGAGTAGACAGGGATCATGAGTGTAAAGATGCCCACAGACACAACTTAGACTTGTTATCATGAGATAAAACTGGTCTGAAGTTCGGTCTGCCCACTGCTATTAATTAGTGTATACAGTACTATAGTACAATATATTTATATATAAGTGGTGTGTGAAATTTAAAGCTTGAGAATTACAAGTGTTCATGTTTGTGCACCAATCATTTCAAGAAAATGTGTCACATTGGGTGGTCAGATCATGTCTGGACCTCTATGTCATGCTAAGTGCCGAGTTATGTTACTTTGCAACTTAAAGGGAAACTTTAATAGTTTAATAGTTTTTATACTTTTTTAAGTTTATACATTTTATGCTTTTCTTTGTTTTGTACTAAAAACAATTACTATATGACAAAAGATTCCCAGAGCACAATATATAACCTAAAGAGAGCACAGCAGATGCATCGACCCTTTAGGCAGATATCTCTCATTAAAGCATCCAACAGAGCTGCCTGATAGAGGATTAGTCATTGCTCTGACTCATTTACTTCTATGTGTAATTCTCACTACTATTAAGCTACTGAGCTCTGTAAACAACAGGCTTTAAACAATGAAGTAGAAAAGGGGATATTGGAAGTTAAAAGGAGTACTAACATAGCTAAGTAGAAGACATGCAGTACCTGAGTATTTTATCCTTTAAGTCCTAACTAAAGCAAGTAAATATGTAAAAAAAATAATTATACATTTCCTACCATGTGATTAACGCACGGTACCACTCAATACACATCTCACAGTGTGGGAGGTATGTTGTGTGCCATTCATTTGAATGGCACCCCAAACGAACCTTCCATCCACAGTGCAATCCATTAATGCACAGAGGTGGTGTGAGCAGGCCCTGAAAGGCAATGCATAACAATAATTTTTTTTGCACGCACTATTTTTTCAATCGCACAGCAATGCACGGTATTTGCAGTACTGTGCCTTGAGGAGTGGCCAATCGAACTGCCAGCAGGAGGTGCGTTTGGGGTGCCATTCAAATAAATGAAATGCAATGCACTTCACGCACTGTAATCGCAGATGTGTATTGAGCTGTACCGTGCGTTAATCACACGGTAGGAAATGTATAATGATATTTTTAACATATTTACTTGTTTGGTGGTGCGTTGTGCGGTACCATTCATTAATTGCATGGATCTGTGTGATTAACGCATGGAGGTGGTGTGAACAGGAACTTAGAGGCAGACTAAGGGGTCTATTCACAAAGCTGCCGAAGGATCTAGCCGTAGCTTCGGCCGATCCTTCGGCTAGCTTGGGCCCCAGGGCCCCAGGTCCCCTTCAGGAGAACCGAGGGGGTGCTGTACGGGCTATTCACTACCCCTAAGTGTAATGAGAGACAAGAAGTAGTGTGAATGTGAATAATTGATAGAGAAGAGTATGAAAAAGACAGTAACTCCAAAAAAGTGGAAGAAGAATAAAATAATTAGAAATGAAAGGGATTATAACCATGATAAATAAAACCAGAATAAAGACAAAGACACAGTAGATACTGTTCAAAGCACACAAAGCATTTGGCAGTCGTAAAATTAGACAAGCACACAATAATTTTAACCTCCTAGGCCGTCGATCAGATGTTTCTGCTACTTGGTATCCTGGCTTACACCTGTATCTGCATGTGGATCCCACATCGTGGTTACCCAGCTGGCAGCGGGTTGTGATAAGCTTTGCATTAATAATTGGCATTGGCGCATCACATTCAATCTTGCAGTAACCTTCAGGGAGAGACCAAAGGCCATCCCAGATACAGGACACCCATGGATTAATTCCTGAAACCAGAAGAAGAGAGGTTAGATTTTCATCTCCTTTTAAAAATTAACCAATTGCAAAACAAAAACAGTTACTGTTTGTAGAAATTAGGGAAGATTTTTAGGAATAGTAAACATTCTTTTTACACCAACTAACAAACAATGTTGTTTTTTATAATCAGTGGATATATGTAATTTTTATCTATGCCGATCATAAAGTTTTTTATGAAATAAAATGTTTTTAATTATTAAGACAATATGTGATTTTTGTGTTATAGGTTTGTAATATGTCCCCTTGCCTTCCCTAGATGACACCTTAAAAGCCCCATCTTTTTCTTAGTTGGTGTATATTGAATATAGGGGTGTGCTGTCCCCGTTCTTGTGGTGATTCAAAATATTTTCAACATTCTTTCTTTTATTGGAAATAGTCAATAAAAATGTATTGAACAAAAAAAAGGAATATTCAACATCCTATCATTCACTTTACAATACATTTTCCTGCCACAGTGCTCTTGGAAGTGGTGTAGAAGGGGGTGGACAGGAGAAAAGATAGAAAACCTGTTAAATGTTTTAAAATTTTAAAGTAAAGCCCTGTCTTGGAGCAGGCACTAAAGTTGTCTGCCTGTACCAATTTTGGCCAGGAATACCTTTTCTGTGTTCTTCTCTGGTTATGCTGAATATATGCAAATTCAGTGTTAGGCACTGTCCCGAAGCAATGCCACCAGTCTAGTAAAAGTTGCCTTAAACAAAGGGAGGGCAAAGCTTAGCTCAGGGAGTGGGGCTTAGACCAACAGTCAGGAAAGTCAAGCCCTTATTAAGAAATTGAAAGTTCTAGATACAGGTCTACCACGGTTTTGCTAGAGTTGGGGTATAATAGATGAATGCATCTAAAGTGGATAATGAAATGCACCACATTAAGTTCACTGTTGAGTAGCACATAATGTAAATTATTGGGCAAGTGAGAAACAGCTCTACTTTTGTTTTAAACATTTTAATTTCACCTTCCACAAATCAGCCCCAGTGTCTCTCTGAATAGCTACCTTGGAATTTTGCAGGAGGCAGGCAGGTAAAAAAACACTGTTTCCCCAAGCCTGTCCCTTTAGGGCAAGAGAAACTGGCATGAAAAACAAGTGATGGAGGCGGGACTCCACAATCCAGTCGTTCACAAGTTACCATCAAATTCCATTTCCCAGAAGAACATTTAAGCACTGTGTCCTGAATAAGAAAAGAATTAGAAAAGAAAATTGCATTTAATAAAAACAAACAGTAAAGAAAAGTATTGATAAAAATTACGTTTTTAGGCGCTTGGTGGGCTGTTCTGAACCCTGGCTAATAACGATTAAACGAATGGTCTGAAAGTGTGTCCTGAGCCTAATGGCTCAGTTCTATAATGAAAAGAGTGTTTACAAAAAGAGAGTGCACACATTTATTGGTGTAACAGTTAAATGTTAAGTGTATCAAAGGCCAAAACGTTTTTGTTGAAGTGTTGAAACCCTAGTCTGGTTTTTATTGCTGTTAGTTCTGGTTACCATTGTTACCAGCACAAAGAGTAACAGCAATTTAAAAATGTTAAGGTTGCTACTAAAACAGTAAGTGAAAATGAAAGACTTCGCAGGGGACACATGATTCATAGACAACTGTCTAAGAGGGAATTTCGCCTCACTTTGGAGAGATCTCTGGGAGAGGAAGTTAAGGGGGGAAAAATTCCCAATGAGACACAGAGATTTAGCTCCACCTTAAAAGCCTCCAGAGAGAAATTGTGTATGCCTTGCCTCAGACCCAAGCTGATTTAACTAGTAGCACAGGTGCTTGTCTGCCTACATTAGAAATGTTTTAGGCAAAAACAGAATCACTTACAGTAAGCTGTACCTTTTTAACATGCAAGGTTAATCATTGAATTCTTACCTGTAAGACTTTATGCCCTGCTTTACTGACCGAGTGTAGAACATGGCCTTCATCACATGTCACAGAACACAGAGTTTCTCCATCCACATCTACGGAACAGTGGGTAGAACCATGTGCCACATGCAGTGGGGAGCATGACCTAGTGGATTGATTGGAAATGACATTTAAATTAATAAATGGCTACAACCTTTTATATATTTATTAAGGCAGTGCAAAGTTCAATAACCATGCAAAATGCAAGAACCCATAAAAACCAAGTAGAGTTAACCAAGTCCATTCTTAACTGATTTGACCACAAACAATACGTTCTGATTTCTTTTTCTGGACCAGCACATAGGCATTACAGTATATCACTTATTATAGGTCAGTTTGTAGTGTTGGTTTTCAATGTTGGATGCAGTATTGGTGATCTATAGTATTCTAAACATGACCTAATGTTAGTCATCTGCAGCAATTGTGGCACCGACAAGTAAACTCACAGTGGCGCATTGTACATACCGTATTTCTGTACTGAAGACACCTCTGCCACCAGCCTTATCTCAAAGAACAACAGCAATCAGCTAGGAAAATAATTCCTGCCAACCAATATTACCTCAGAGACAGATGGGCTACATAGATCTTAAGTAGTGCGTAGATATAAAATCAATCCCAATCTATCTGTTATCAGTAGGATTAAGGTGGACTTGAAAGCTTTTTCTAGTTTTAGGTATACTGGGGGTGGAGCGGGACCTTTGTCAGGTTTTATTGCTGTCTGTGCTCTCCACATTTGCAGAGTCATTTTCACATTTGTCATAGTGACTATTGTCATTGAGACAGGAAGTGAAAGGAAATCTCAAATTTTACTGTTGTCATTGGAACATGAACATGAGGAAAAATCTCCCAATTGAGACAAAAAGTTCCAGGGGCAGCTGTCAAACATGGAAGGTTCCCTTCAAATTTGGGACATTTTATCTCTGCTTACACAGAAAACAATAAAACCCTGGCAGATGTCCTAACCCTTACCCGCTTTATCCAAAACTAGAAAACTTTTATGGGTGGCATTCCACATTGGCTGGAGTCAGGCTGTAAATTGGGGGCACAGGATTATAACACTATGGGGTTGATTTACTTAAATAAAATTGGTTGTTTACTTTGCAAGGAAATTTTAACCCCATTCAATTAAGGGGAAAATTCCCTTGCAAAGTGCAAATTCCCTTGAAAAGTGAACATCACATTTGCCTTTAGTAAATCAACCCCATCATATTAAAGCAACAATACCCAAAGCAACAAATGAAATCATGACATTGCTATAAAGTCTAGAGCTCTAACGGGAGTCATTACTTCTGTACCAATTTTTACTGATTGTCTCTGAATGACTCCCACTGAACAAAGAGCCCTAGGACCTATCTACTACTACTCTATGAAGAACACAAATCAAGTACAAGTGGGATTTTCCATTTGAAACGCAGTTCCAAATTAATAACCACTCCTAATTATATCAACTCCTTGATGGAAGATTATCACTCTCTTATAGCTGTGGAAGTGCACTCTTACAGTTAGATAGGTCCCTATGGAACTCATTCAATCTTAAGCCCTGCTGGCCTATTAGACAGCTCCCATCTGAACTGAAAGAAGGATAACAGGTAACAGAGAGTCGACCATATGTTTTTATACTTCATCTTTTCCAGTTATGTACTTTCTCCACTTTCATCCTTGGACTCCTAATCATTTTTTCTTTCTTTCTTTCTTTCTTTCTTTCTTTCTTTCTTTCTGGCATTTTATATCACTATCCATTTACACTACACTTTACATACTATCCAGTCACATCAGTCCTTGCCCTCAAAGAGCTTATACTTCAAGGTCCATATCCTACATACAGACACATACTAGGTGCAATACAGACAGGAGTCAATTAACCTACCAGCATATTTTTCGAGAGTGGATGGAAACCAGGGTACCCAAAGAAAACCCACACAAGAACAGGGAGAACATGCAAACAGGCGAACTCCGTGCAAATAGTGTCCAATTTCCCATCTCACATCACAGACATTACATCAGAACATAATAAACCTTGTTACACCAAGACTAGAAAGGGCTGAACTGACACTACTCCAATTTTGCTTTTCTGGTTCTTACTTATCACCGTCATTTTTAAAAATCTCCTTAATTTCTGATTTATTGTTTATATACATCTGCAGCATATTCATCAGAGCTTTTTTCCATGCCTTAACAAACTCTGCCTTCCATATCAATGGTATGATTAGCCGCACTGCTTCATTTAACTACATTACTCAGTAGCTATATTTAGCACAACTATGTAATTGACTATGTAGTTTAAAATCCCAGATGTGTCAAGGGAATAGGACATTTTCTGGCTTTCATATTTTATTTTAGCACTGAAAAATCTTCTAATATAAGAATCTTTATTTATAACATGGCTTACTCACAGATCATGGAAATATGCCTACTCCAACATAATCTTTAAAAAAAATAGTTTTGTCCAACCCCATTTAACCAATTCATGCAAGTTAGCTTGTTTAATCACTGTCTGGTATATGTGGAAACTGCTGTTTCTCCCTCTTGTGGTTTGGATCTAAAATACAGACTCTCTCTCTCTTAAATAGTATAAAAAACAAATAACTTCTTTTATTTGCAACCATTTGGCCTGCTAAATTTACCATTTAATGCATTTGCTATGTCTGTTCAATAATGACAGCATATACCTTTTGATCCTGCCAGAAATATTGTCACCAGATAATTTGTGTGTTCTATATCTGTGCTGCACTCTTATCACTTACATTGTTTGCATCAATCTCTAAGTGCTACAGACACCTCCCCATGCTATGGAGAAGAGCAGGGGGAAAGGGGTTGTTCTATCCTATGGTGACAATGCTGCTTCTCCATTGATACAGCACAGTGAGTGAGCGTTGTCACACTAGGACAGAAAGCAGGACCGCCAGAAGGAAATAAAGAAAAAAAATAGGAGGGGGGAGGGGGGGTTGGAGGGGCGGGATCCCGAGGTGGG